CAAGAGGCAAGGAGCTATTACTACAGTCACAAGGTTTAGAAAAGCTTTGCACAGACTGAAGAGTGTCATACAACCCTACAGCATGGGACACATAAATGACACCAGTAGATACTTAACAAATACTGGGGAAGTTGGAGACAGTTTACCTTGGGAACAGATGTGCCCTAGATGCTGACCTAGTGTTGGACAGCAAGGAATGGTCACTAAGGCAATGGGTCCATCATGATGAGGTCCCTCTTCCTCCCACTTTCCCTTCTTATCAGTGAGACACACAAGAAATCTCAAAGAACAATGTCCACTTATCACTCATGAATTGTCACAAAACAGCAAAACCATCAGATCAGATCATTCTGCTCAGCCCTGATTCAAAGGGTTAGATTTGGATATGGGAGGTTTTAAACTGTATGACTTACTGAGGCCTGGCAGAGGCATAAGGGAAGTGCTGTACGGGCGAAGGGGATGGTCCTGGGTATGGTGAGACAGGATGGCAAAGGTATCCAACAGGCATTCTGTACCCACAGTCAGCTCCTGGAAGGAGCCATGCTGCCCACCCTGGGGTCTGGAGGAACGGTCTAAGCGTGAGACACGTTAGGTCACAGGGTGTGAGAGAAGCAGACACGAGTCATTTCTCAGAGCCAAAGGGAAGGCTGTGGTGACAAGTTCCAGGCTAGCGGCCATTCTTTGTCAAATGAAAAAAGGAGAAATACCAGCAGGGATTCTAGAAGGGATAGTGCCAGTGAAGACAGAGCCTGTGAACCAGATTGCTCAGTTCAAATCCCACCTTGGACACATCCAGTCTTAAGATTTTAGATGTTTGCTCTGCAGGGAGCCTTACAAAGTTGCTTCTTTGAGGACCACTGTAGCTGCCTGTGGCTCCTGCCAGCTGCCTGGCAGGCTCTGGCAGTGCCAATGGTTTAAGCTGTTGCAGGCGGTCCATTTGGTACCCTGGAGAATGAGGCAGGGTTGTTGGGCTGCTGGTCAGCAGGCACCGTTCCCACCTCAGTGACTCTGGGTGACTGATCCTGTCTCAAAGGCTGGGGCCAGCACTGCGCTGTGTGACTCATCACATCCACCTCTTCCTCTGCCCAGTGCTCACCAAGAATCAGGCCTGCATTTCAGCAGCTGAAGTCCAGTGTGCTTTTGTGTTGCAGCCCTTGTCATTTTCTTAGGCAGAAACCAGAGAACCATGTCATCATGGTTTCCATTTATACACAAGACATGTCCTAAGCACAGCACGTGTATGCATTAGACTCTAGAAGAGAAATTTGTCACTGGGCGCCAATATTCTGTCTTGGTTTCTTATCTGAGACCCGTCCTCGGGGGGCATCCCTGACTTTAGTTCAGTTGGTAGAGCTCTAATGGGAAATAGCCACGCCACCACTCAGTCTACCCACCCTTGACCTCAGGTCCACCAATCCCTGGGATGGGGTAGACCAGTGCCTTGAAAGAAACCTGCTAAGATAAAACTCACAGTCCTTATATCTCTATAGCTATATCCATACTCTACTGCTTCTGTTTCTCTGGAGAACCTGATAGTACAGCCACAAAGAAACAGCTTCAGGCCAGGGGACACGTGACCCAGCACCTGTAGCATGCAGGTCACATGGTTGGTCCTTGATAAGCATGTTATAGGCAGTGATGTGGGTCCCTGCTATGTCTCACTCAATGGGCAGCATGGCTTGCTGGATGAAAGTCTGTAAAAACTACTGTGTACCACCTTTTGGATTTTATGTATATTCAAAGTCTGCAAATTTTCAATGTCAATGCCACAAAAAGCACTATGAAAGAAAAAAGTGGAAATTGGTGTTCATGTAAAATTTAAAAACCTTTCTCTCATTAAAAGATACAATTAGAAAATGAAAAGGCAAATCATGGGCTAGAAAAAATACTTGCAATGTATGTCTGACAAAGGCCTAATAAACCAAATACCCATAGAAAACAGCTCCCACAAACCAAAATTGAAAAGATAAATTTTCTAATCAGAAATGGACCAAAAAACCTTGAACAGATTCTTCCCCAAAGGATTTACACGTGTGACACACAAAAGGTGCTTCATAACAACAGTCTCGGAAAAATGCAAATCACTCCCACAATAAGACATCACGTCACATCCTTCGGAATGGTTGAGGTTAAAATACTGATACTATTAAGTGCCAAAGAGAAGGTGGAGCACCTGGAATGCTCAGCTCCTGCTGTAAGAGTATAAATGCCATAACCACTAGGAGAACCCTTTCTTATAAAGCTAAACATGCTCCCACCATATGATCCCAGCAGTTCTCTATCTAAAGAACTGAAACCAGATCTCCAGGGAAAGACTTGCACAAAATACTCCTCACAGTTTCATTCACAATAGTCCAAACTACAAGCAACCTGCCTGTCCATCACCAGGAAAATAAATACACAGACTGTGCCATTCAACACACAATGAAATAGCCCTCAGCAACGAACATGTAGCAAACTGCTGCTATGCCTAACGGTAGAGCAGAATATCACAGGCATTGGGTTGAATGAAAGAAGTCAGACCCCAGGGTACCAGTTGGGCAGTTCGTCTGTAGGAAACTGAACGGACAAAACTGATCTGTGGTGGCAGAATGTAGAATGGTGCAATGTCTCTGGGGGCTGGGGCTGGAGGTAGGAGTGCTGTCTAGAGAGCAGCCTGGGAGAAATTCCTGGGGTGAGAGAGCATTGTGTACGTTAATCGCAGCTGCAGATACAGCTGCATACATTTTTCAAAGTGTAGTCAACTCTTCACCTAATTTGTGCATTTCACTGTATGCAAATCATACCTTTACAAGAAATTAGTAAAAAAGTTGGTAGCAAGTGAGAGTATCAGAAAGCCCAGGGGCAAACAGAGCTCAAGATGCTCAGGAATCTTTCTCCTTTGGAGTCCAGCTCAGATTTCACCTCCTGTGAACTGTGTTGTGCTGCTCTCCACTCATCTCAGGTTGCCAAGAGGCCTTCCTATGTGTCAGCGGAGGTATTAGATTCACAATTTACCATCTGGGCATCCCTGGAACCTGTGAAAAAGGCAACTGAGGTTGCAGATGGAATCCGGGATGTTAATCAGGGTACTTGGACCTGGCTTATCTGAGTGGCCATCACATGAGCCTTTAAGATGGAAGAAGAGGAGGCAGGACACAGAGTCTGACATGCAATGAGGGAGCAAACTGACCTACAGCTGCTGGACTCAGAGGTGAGGAAGGGACCACAGTCAAGAATGCTGCAGCCTGTGGAGGCTGGAGAGGGGGAAATGGATCCCTCCCCCAACCAGGGCATCTGGAAGGAACTCAGCCCTGCCTGGTGGGCCCCAAGCCAGAGTTTTGACCTCTAGAAAACCAAGGGAATAAACCTTGTGGTGTGAAGCCACTCTGTGGCAATTTGTTCCAGCTGCTAAGTTCTTTAATTAAGAAATTTTCCTCAAACAACAGTACTGTACTTGTTTCTACAATAAGCCACCATCTCTGGGAAGCTCTCTCCCAGGGGGGCCAGGAAAAGCCATAAGCTCTCATCTGGGATATGGGGCAAGGCCACAGAGGGTGAGGGGATGCAGGCTGTTCCAGCTGCCCTGCCTTCCCCACCCAGTCCCCGAGAAAGCCACTATTTTCCAGAGAATGGAGCGAGAAGGAGGGCCCAGTGACCCTCTGTGGTCCTCCAGAGCTGCCATGGAACAGCCAGGAATGCACAGCCAGTACACCTGAGTCTTTCCAACAAAAGCCTGGAGGGGAGACAACCTAGCATGGCTCTTAGACAGGATGGGGGAAGGAAGGGGCTGGGGAGGAGGGACTGAAGTCGTGGATGCAGTCTTGAGCTTCCTAGATCTAAGAGGTCATTGCAGGGGAACACAGAGTGGATAAATTGGGAACATGTGCTGGGAGCCGCGAACCCAGCTAGTGCCCAGAGCTCAGTGGCCCTGTCCCTACACCCAGCAAACCTCAATGCTCTTTCTTGTTGACTGCCAACCCCTACTGCCCAGCCCAAAGAGCACAACCTTGTCTTTCAAGGTCCACTTTGGGACAGGTGCTATCTTGACATCCCACAGTGTGGTTCAGTGTCTGTGCCAAGTGGCATCTGCAGCAGTGGGCTCTCAGGTTCCCAGAGAGAAAGCCTGGAGCGTCCCTCTGACAGATTGCAAGATCAGGCTGGCTTAACGGGTCAGAGGGGAGATGCCTCAAGCTTTGAGCGGCTCCAGGCCTTTGCTGGACCTGTCCAGGGATGTTGCATCTGGACTGGAAGCCTTAAAAATGGGACAAAGGGTGCCTTAGAGAGCACTCAGTGGCCACCAGCTCCACACAAGGAGCCAGCAAAGTCAGTGACTGTAAAGAACCCTGTGGCCATTTTCGAAGGTACATTGTCAACCTGGAGCCTGTGAAAACCAGATACAGATAACGTGTGTGACCCAAGACACCGACGCACACTCCCTCCCCAAGTCTTAGATGTCTGTTTTGTGCCGTTTCACAGGCATGGTTTCCTGACATCGTCAAATTCATCTTTTGAAACCCATTTTAGAACAATTCCCTGCCAGGCTCTACTCACGAGTTCTGAGAAGATGCCGTATGACTGCTCTCTGAGCACAGAGCAGCTCCCAGCCCAGCTTCCACACAAACACTCCTAGGAGGTACAGCGGAGCCCTGCCTGAAAGTGGGGAGCTGCCGCTTCCTGGGATCCATACAGATATGGAAAAAGAAATGTAATCAACCCTGAAGGCTTTCTCTGATGCCTAGGACACAAGATCCCACTTTCCTGGGACATGTGCTGAACAGCCTTGTAACTAAAAGCCTCCATATCAGCTCACAATGAATTCTTGCTTTGGACAAAGCCCAGTGGGATGGAACCAGCCAGCCTGTTTCCAGCCATCTAGAGAAGTCCTTGGTTTGTTGCTCGGTCTCCCTTGACAACTCAACAGTCAAACCTTGCTACGTGATTCCAGTTGGACCCATAGCACAGTCATAGGCTGGAAAGGGCCTGGGAACACATAAGGCCGACTGGTGCGGCTGCCTTACCTGCCTGGCCGTCCTTGGGCTTACACTGCACCTCTTCAACACAATCAGCTGGAAACCACCCAATGTGGCCGCGGGCGCTGCCTTCCCAGAAGCCCCCTTCACCGATGCTCAGAACTAGAAGCAATGGAAAGGAAAGGGATTAGCCACAGAGACACAGAGGGAGGAGCCAGAGTAATGGGGGTGGGCAGAAGGATCAAGGGCCAGCAAGTCTGCAAAGCCAGCGTCTGTAGGCCATGCCTTCTCCAGCTGAGAATAAGGGGACCCGGCTAAGCATCTTCATGACTCCTGTCTAGGTGCATTTGCACCAATAGGTAACAATCTCCTCTCCTCTCATGTGGCATAAGAACCAAAGTGCATGCCACTTTGTTCCATCTGTCAGTGCTCCACTGAAGCAGCGAGTGGGAATAGAGGTCCTCACCATCATGACTTCAGTTTGCAGAAGTGGCCAGCTGCTGCTTCCAAAGGAAAAGGAAATGCTGGGGTCATGTTGTCGCTCCTCGCCCGGGTGGCGAGGACAGACAAGTGACAGATCAACTACCTGGCTCTGGGAGGCTCTCAAAGCAAGGAGAAGAGAGAGACCCCCAACAGGAAGTGAGTGGTCTGTGAGTATGAGCTTTCATCCTGCTAGATGTGAAAAGATGGATGGACAGACCACATGCCCAGTGCCCAGAACGCCCCAGCCCCTGGAGCTCAGGGCCTTTGACACATGGCCCCACTAATGAGGAACCTGCTAATCGCAGTCTTGCTGGGAGAAGCAATGACTTCAGACTATCTGAGAGAAAGAAAGGTGGCCACATGGTGCCTTGTCCCCAGGGGCCAGTTTGCATATCTGGACAGGCACAGTTACCTCGACCTGCAGAGTAGGGACTCCTCAGTCCAGCTCAGAACTTCCCTCCCTGGGCAAGGTGCTAGGTGTACTGGGTCAGCAAAGGGTGCTATGCTTGTTAATTCAACTGTTCAGCACGAGTGGGGAACCCAGATACCACAGGCTGGAGGGAAGTCCCACCAGGGTTGCTCTGCTCCCTCGGCCCCATTTTGATAAACGTTTTGGTTGTAATAGCAAAACTCAGGGTGGTACAATGGAGAAAGGGAATCTTTTTATGTTAGGACAGTGGTGCTGGGCTGGGGTTGCCCCTGCTGCTCTGGCTCCCTCTAAATATGGCCATGCAATGGGGAGCTCAAAATAATCTCTCCACACTTTAATCTTCTTTTCCATTACTCTTGATGTGAAGGACCCAGGATTGCAGAAAAGGGGTCATGGCCCCAGAAGTGCTTTCTGCCATCCTTTGTATGAACCTCAAAAGCCAGATAAAGATCCATCTGGCCCACGATTTTGGAAGGTCGGCAGAACACAAAACATCGGCTTTATAAGTTTTTGTTTGATAATCTGAAGAAATGACCTAAATGAAACAGACAAGCTGCATCCCAGCTGACCAGCTCCATCATAACCGCTTGAAGCAATTTCCTCCAAAAATCAATGCTGGCCCCTTAAATTCTGTGCAGCCCAGCGGATGGATGTGCCACATAGTCTCCCAGTGGAGGTCTGGGTTGGATAAAGTCATCTCAGGGTGTGGCCCTAGGTTGCATGGGGAGGCAAGGGACCTGCTCGTGCGCTGTATAATGATGGCCCATGAGGACACCTATGTGTCCTCTGCTGTGTGGCTTGTGAGCAGGTCATTCCACTGCTTTAAAAGCACAAAAGGAGGAGCGAATTGTTTAGGTAGAACCTGATATCTTGTTCAATGGGAGGACCTGATGCTGGAACTTTCAGATGTGGGGCTTCTTTGCTGTGCCCCTAGCACCTTCCTGTGACCTGCAAAGCCAGGAGACAGGGAGAGACATTGAGGGATGGTGGCACAGATGTGAGTGGCACCTACTGGAAGAGGCAACTTCCCATGTGGCCCCCTGTCCTGAGATTATTAAGAGGGGCTCAGTTCAGGGAAGGCTGCATGCTCAATGATGATGTTTTAGACATTAAGTGAGGACCCATGTGAGTGCAATGGAGGAAGCTCTGACGAGGTGTCTGTCTGGCCACCAGCTGACCATGTCTGCAAAGGTAGTAGCAGCCTGTTGTATGTGTTACTGTACAGATGACTGTGGTGTCAACTGAACGTCACCCAGTCTGCAAGGCTGTAAGATTCTTTCCATGATTGGCTCTTATTAACTATCAAAACTGTAGGTTATGTGAATTTTGACATTTATAATTTAAAAACTAACAAACATCTTGGGTTAAGTTATATTTGTGCAATCCAGAGCATTCTGCTTGTGGATGTGAAGACCCTATTGAACTACACCATTGAAAATAGCTCTTAAACCCAAACATAATGCAAAAAACAATAAGCTAGAGAAGTAAAAGAACAATAGCCAGACCTCCGTGGAGATCTGTGCTTGCTTGGAAGAGTGGGGTGGAAATGGCACAAGAGTCTCTGGTTTTCTGCGTGAGCTAAGTACAGCCCACATGGCAGGGTTACTAGTGGAGAAGCCATGCATGGGGACAGCCACGGAGGTGGAGCCAGGAAACCTGGACCTACAGAGGCTGGGGAAAGTCCCTGCAAAGAACAGGAGGGGAGATGGCAAACCCAGACTCCCCACATCTCCAATTGAATCCAAAGATACAGAGAACAAACTCAAAGCAGTTAAGCTTCAGTTACGAGATCTGAGCTTGCACAGAGCTGTCCCCCAAGCAACCTTCTAAAGTGAAGGGAAAAAACTTTAGAAGCCACGCATTCTATTACTTAACACACTGAAAATCCAGAATGCAGCTGAAGTCACCAGACACGTGAAAATAAGAAGGAAACATGCTCTCAAGAGATAAGAGAATCGCCTGAACCCAAACCCAACATAAACCTGAGGTGGGTCTGTCACACAGGGTTTCATGTGGCGATTACACCAATCCACAATGTTGTGAGCCAACACAGGTTTGCAATAAACAAAATAACCCCAGCAGAGTAATGGGAACCTTGGCAAACCAAAAGCAGCAATGAAAAATACATACGTACAAAGTCTAGCACACAAATAATTTCTCAAAGTATAAAATTTACAAGTTGAACTTGCAAAAAAAAAAATGCATGGAACTCCAAGAACTTATTAGATGCCACCAGATGGAATGCCAGGGGTTAAGAGAGAAAATGGGCTCTGTCATCTCCACCCGTAACCCAGATGAAGTCAGGCTGATGAGGCAGGCCAGGGAGAAAGAGATTACTTGCTTTGGGCCAAACAGCAACAGGAGGTGGAAGGCAGGATTGAAAGCTGGCTGCCAGATTCCAAGGAGCAAACTTGCTATGCTGTGCCACATATTTGCTGGAAGCCTGTCCAGGGGCAGGGCCTGGGCAAGCTGGGCACAGATAGTGTCCCTGCCTTGTTCTACCCAGTGAGTTGCAAATGCCTGCATGTGGCCTCCACAGCCCACCTCTACCTCTCTTCCCTTGGTGGCTGTCAGCTACAGGACTCAGATGATGCCACCATCAATTTCTCTCCAACCTGACATACCCTTACTGCAAGTTCCCTGCACACTTGATTTCTCTGGGCAGAGACCATGATTAGCTCCCTAATGCCCCTGGAATGAAGTCTAACTGCTTGGCTGGAAACTCATGGTAGACTTCAAAATGCTTTTTAACCATTATTCCTATGATTCTGCCTTATGAATCTCCTTCTGCCTGGTGAATTTCCTTTCTTTAAACACTGCAGGCCTTCAGTCTTGGCTCAGGCTGGACCTGAGGTTCCCGGATATCCCAAATCTGACAGACCCCAGGGTCTGCACCTGCTCTGCTTCCTCATGGGTCTTAGAAGTCTCATGACTGGTAAGGAGCCCTGCTTACCAGTCCTAGGATGGGTCCACTCTGCAATTCCATGCTAAGTCTCAGCCAGATGTGCGTGTCCTGCTTTCCTCCCAGGCTGAGACCAGGCACTACAGCTCCTTCCCTCCAGAGTGAATGCACAGCACTAGTGGACATGGATCCATTTCCATTCCTACCCTCCCTCAGGTCCGAACTTCCCATGGGGCCCTGCAGGAGCCATGTCTTAGATGTTGCCACCCAGTGGATCCACTGAGAGGGCCAATGAAGACCAAGTGGCCCCAGTCTGCGCTGCCCCAGAAGCAGAGGACAACAGGTGGACACTGACCTTTGACTCTGTCACCACGGTGAAGGGGGATCTCGCCATCAACTTGGGGTTGGTATGGCTTGACAACGACGAACAGTCTCCCAGGCACGGCGCTGTAGAGCTTCCGCTTGGGCCCCGGGTACTCGAAGGCCGAGAGGGAGCCCTTGTTGGCACCAGGAGTAAGAGGTGGCCTGGATCAATGAGAGGGAAGAGGAAAAAGATGGTCAGAGACCCATGTGTCACCCGCTGAGGCCAGTGCAATCCACAGGGTCCATGCCACAAGTTGTCACACTGTACCTGTGAGGTCCAACAGTCTTGACAAGAGTGACAGGCTGGGAGCAGTGTCTGGGGCAGAAGGGAGCAGTAGACACAATCACTGCACTTCTGGGCATGTCCCCAAAGGAGTGAAATCAGGGCCTCAAAGAGATTGTGCATGCCATGTTTATGACAATTTTACCCAACAACCAAAAGGTAGAGGTGGACCCGCGTCCATGGACTGATGGTTTGCCCATACTGTGGAATAGGATTTGGCCACAGAAAACAAGCTCCTTCTGACTCACAGGAGGTGACAACTGAGGTGGACCCTGAAGACATGGTGCTCAGTGAGATAAGCCAGTCACAGGACAAATCCGATCACACGAGGTCCCTAGGGTAGTCAGGTCCCTAGGGACAAGAAGTAGACTAGGGTCCCAGAGGCTAGGGAGTCACGTTTAAGGGGACAGTGTTTGGTTTGGGAGACCATGACGAAGGGCTGAAAGTGGATGGTGGCGGTGGCTGCAAAACAGTGTGCATGTGCCCTGTGCCCTTAACCATGGCTAAGACGGTGATGCTATGTTGTGTGTATCTAACTACGATTTAAAAAGGAAAGGCTCAGATGTAGGTGGAAATAAAGGGAAGCCCTGGTGTCCCATTTCATCTACACACTGCCTCTGCCAATGTCCATCTTTCTGGGTGAGGAAACCTTTCATCCAAAGCAACCGTAACCACCAGAGTCTGCCCAGCACCACTCCCAAGAGGAACTCTGAAACTGTCTTGTTTTATGTCAATGATCACAAGAAGCATGCATGTCAGGCTGACCTCCTCACCTGACAGTGTGGGGCGCCTTAACTGAAGATGGTCATCGGCAAGGGTGTGACAGAGGTCCCTGCACAGGTGAACTTGCAAAGCAGCTTCTCATAATGGTATCACCATACCCCTGGGAGAGATGACCAGGCTCTACTATGTCTAGCATGGAGACAGAGTACACTTCCCCATGTCCCAAGCAGGGGATCATGCTCATGCAGGGTATAATGCTCACTTTTTCTTCCTAGGATGGGGGACTTTGGAAACCAACACACCCTTGTGGGGGAATCTGGCAGGGACCTCAGGGCAGTGGGCCAGAAAGACCACAGTAGCATTTACTGTGCTGGTGACTTCCAAAGGGGCACTCAGCCACAGCAAAGGTAAAGATAAGAGTCCCAGACGAAAGGTTCCAGAATGGAAAATCACACCTGACCTGGGAGGGTGGTGGGACATAAATGCATAGCCAGCTGTGGGCTCCAGCTGCTGTTCCTCACACTACTGATGCTGAGGCCTCTGAGCTGCCACAGGCAGCCTCAAGCTTTCTCAAGGAAAACACCCATCTATACAGGGACTGGTGTGAAATGTGTTTGCAGGAAAAGTTCTAGAAGCAGACAGGACTTGCTTTCAGTATTTAATGCAAAGCCCTCTCCTTTGGTACCAGCGATACCACACACACCCTGTGAGGGCCTCGGTCACAGCTGCAAAGCACCATGTGTGGCAGTCCCCATGCCTCTCACTTCCCCACTCAGTGTTGTGACAGTGAGATGTAGCCCGGGGGACCCGGGCAGGTGGCACAGAGGAGCCCAATCTGAGGATGTGGAAATGCTAAATTTAGCCCCTCATTTATACTGTAGACTGGGACTGAATGCTGAAGTGCCTGCCTGGCCCTAAAGCCCAGATTTGTCCTTTACCCACAAGGAGCAGGATGTGGGAAAAGCTGGTCAGCTGACCTCTTGTGGCACAGGTGGGGAGGCCTGGAGGCTCCCCTGGGTTCTGGGACACTTGGAGAGGTGGGAGGCTGCCCACAGTCAGCCTTCTCTCCAAGGATGCCCCCTGCCGAGGGTTTTCTCCATCCAAATCACCAATGTAGTGATCTCTGAATCCCTGCGGTATAAGCTTTGTCACCACCAAGTGGCCCTGGGTCAAGGTGGAGACTCAGGTAGGCGCAGCCTCTATGTGATCTCCTCACTCACTTCTCCCTCACCTGGCCAGCTGTGCTCCACTATGGGACTTACTGGATGCCACTCATCCTGAGACACTCGGGGCGACTAGAGTAGTGACTCCGACCAGAGCAGAGTGATCGGATGTATCTTGTCTGACGGTGCAGCTCAGCAGGCCAGTGACATGTGGAGAAGACCACATGGGCCACCTGCTTGTGAGGGGACAGATGTGGGAAATGCAAGCAGGGCCCTCCAGGTTCCTCAAGAAAGTGTGATCAAGTGAGTTTCCTCACCATCCCACCAACCTGCTGAGCAGTGTGTGTGTGTGTGCACACCAGCAGTGTTATTTGTTCAACCTACCTCAACTCAGTGTGAGCCAGGCCAAGTTTAGCCCAGGATGCAGAGGTAAAAAGATAAGAGTGGAGAGACAAGAATTTCCCTGCCAGCCACTTTGGGGCTTCCTCCAACCCCTCTGTCTCCCCGTCAACCTTCACACAGATGGCACTGGAAGACCCTGGATGGACCTGTCCGAATCTGCCTGGAGAGATGGAGGGAGCAAGCCAGTGGTCACAAGCAGGGCCTTGCAGGTACTCAACTGCCTTTTACTCCTTGGCTGTGGGACTTTTTCAAGAGTTGCTTTACCTCTCTGAGCCTTCATTTCTCATTTGTGAAATGAACGGCAGTGGAGGTGGTGTCCACTGCAGGGGGCTGCTGGGAGAATGGATAAAAAGCTCAGCTTCTGGTTGGCTCTGTCACTGTGTAATTACAGACTCTGTACTTGACCAAAATACTGGCTAAAATGGCTGGAATACATTATCTTAAAGCCCCTCTCGTGGCTAGCTAGGGTGCAACATGGAAACTCAGAAATACCTAGAGCATTAAACCCCATTGGTTCTAGTGACAGCACAGGTGGGTCCTCCTGCTAACCAGGCTGCATGGGTTCTCTGAGTGGTGGTGTAGGTGCAGCAGATACTGGGAGTTAGACAGATGGGAGGCTGGCCATGGTCACCGCCCAAGCATCAGGAGAGGGGCTGACTCAGAGGGAAACAAGATGAGGCCTGGAAGCTTCTTTCATAAGGAGGAGGATGGGTTGAAGTCCAGGGAAAGACAGACAGTGCATCCAGTGGCTGGGGCTGGGCACAAGGTATGCCACAAAGTTGGGGTCACAGGATGGACTCCTAACTGCTACATGGGTGACGCATTAGCTGCTCAAACTTAGAGTTTGAGAATCTAATGGGAACCCTTCCCTTTGGGAGGACCTTGACTCCAAAGGAGTCGCTGCCAGGAACCTCCCTGTGTGTCTGCCACAACAGCCTACATGAGAGACAGAATCCACCCATCCTGAAAAGTACATTATCAGGAGGGATATAAAACTACTTCTTAGCTCCCCTACATCACCCACCTAGACCTCCATCCACCTACCCACATATCCATTCTTCTACCCATTCACGCATCTACACAATCCAGCACCTATCCACCTACACCTGCATTGATACGTGCATCCATTCATCATTCACCCACTCACCTATCATCTACTCACCTTTATATCTACCTAACACTCATTTACCCATCTCTCATCTATCCATCCAATCATCCATTCATCTACCCACCATCTACTTACCCTGACATCCATCTACCAAACTCATTCATCTATCCATCCACCCACCTATCTTCCCATCCATATATTCATCCACCCACCCAACCATTCATCCTCCATCCTTGCATTTATGTATCCATGCATGCATGCATGTCTCTGTCATCTTACCCACCCACCCATCTTTTCATTTACATATCTATTATCCACCCATTGAACATCCATCTATCCATTTTCCATTCCTCTACCCAGCCAAGCACTCATCCACCATCCATCCATGCATCTATCATCCACCCATCTACCCACCACCCATTCTCCCACATATCTATCCATTATCCATTCATCCATCTATTTAATCATAATCAATCTATCCACTCATCCACCTGACCATGTAGCTGAACACCCTCTATTCGCTCACCCACCCAAATTTCAGAAGGACCCTAAAGTCTAGCTGACTGCTTACTATTGGATATTGGATGTATCAATTAACCACTCAGAGCCTCAACTCCCCTATCCGCTGAGAAGAGCCCATGAGGACGAGTCCGTATGAATCTGCTCTACACAAGTGTATTGCAAAGGTCAGCAGCACAACCACTGCCCTGCTGCAGCTTGACAGAGGGTAACAGAATGCTCAGGTCACCCAGTGGAAGACTATGTAGCCATCAGAGAAGTCATTAAGAACACAGCCCTAATCCTGGAGCTGCTTCTTAACCCACTTTGCAGGTAGTCAGCATCCTGATCTATCAATCTGAGGGCTGGGAAAGTCTTTAAGAACAGGAGGGACATACTCCTTGCAGACCAGTGCGCACATGGCAGTGGTAGGTGGCCCCACAAGAACACTCAAGCATCTCCTAATTCATTATTTATCAGAACCTCATGGAACCCCACAAAGGCAGCTGCAGAGTAGGAACATTTGCCCCACTTAATAGGTGAGGAAATGAAGGCTCCGGGCAAAGTGAGATAAGCATGGAAGCCAGAGCCGACCTATCCTGACTTCCTGCTCCATATCCTGATGGAACAGGGAGCCAGCATTCCGTCTATGCATGATGGTCCTTTGCCTCTTGATGCTGTTTTATGCCCTGGCCCCTCCTACCTGACTGCATGAGGAGGAGCTGCCCTCGGGAGAGGAGGTCAGACCAGTGCTTTCTCCACCAGCCTGCACAGCAAGATGGGCTGAAGCTCCCCAGCTGAAAGTATCCATGTTTTCCTTACATTCTGGCCAAGAACAGCCAGATGGAATCCAACGGACTTGTTTTAGTCTAAGGGCCAAGTCATTGAATTCTCTGTATCAGAAAATTGGCATCCTGTGCTGTAGGGTGACTTGGATGAGTGAATTGGGCCATTTCCCAGCAATCCTGGGTGAACAGGGACCTGC